CTTGCATCGTCAGCATTTTCAGTCTTGATTCAATGTCCTCAACGGCTGAAAGAGCTTCCTTTTGCCAAGTGGGAAAATCAACAGTCGAACGAATTGAGCCAGAGCTCAGAAGCTTTTGGAGGTATGCTACCAGTGAATATTTTTCTTTCAACTTCCCTTCCAAAGACACAAGGGCATCTTGAGAGTCAACGATTGCCAGCTTAGCTTGTGTATACGAATCAGACGAGAGATTCACCTAAAAATTGAGGTGCAATGTAAGACCTTGAAACATAATTGCCAGACAGACTTCAACGGAAGACATACCTTCCTCGCCAATGCCTTTGTCTCTCATGAAATTTCATAAAGCATTAAAAGCTCTTGTGGCACCTTCTCAATGTCCAAAGCAAGGTGCTTCAGCTCCTGCAAATGGGGCAATAGCATGAGAACAGTCCGCTTCGCTAAAGGTCAACAAAACTGGGTGACATTGAGATGATTATCACCTATCCCGACTCCGCAATGCACAACGCTGCTCTCTGAATCTCGTTCTCGACTCTGTCATGTTCAAAATTTGTCACAATCACCCGAGGAGTCCTGCTACCTCTCCAGCCGCCAAAAAGGAAGCCTGTCTTATGAATGTTTCCATCAATTGTCACACTCCTGACGCCATGATTCAGGGCTAGGTCAGCTGCAACGGTGTCGTCCTTTGCAATTACAAAGCTGCTGAACAGCTTTGCAAGTGCTAGACGAAAACGAGGATCAAATTCAAGCAATTCAGGAGGAAGAACTACAGATCCGTCCTGGAACTTTTCTTTGGCAAACAGATGATCTTGCCCTCTGTCATCCACAACAAGGGATTTCAGAGGCCAGATTCGACTGAACATGCTTGGGTGCCCGAGATCTTCCCACAGGTCCAATAGAGATTTAGCATCTTGAATACTCTCCACGATGCAGGTGGAGCTGATCTGACCTGCAGGGTCATGGAAGGCGTTATAAAAAATGGAAAACACAAGAATCTGCAAGAAACTAGCTTCAGCAAGTCATACGTGCACCCACCTGCAATAACATCCAAGGCAGTGAGAAAATTGGAATAGCCATTTGCTGGATCTGTCTTGAACCGGAAAACGGAATGCAATGGCCAAGCAGGAAATCTCAAATCCGTGGGTTCCAGCCTTCCGAGCTGCGCTTTCAGAAACCTCGATCTGAGTCCGTTGGGCAACCTCCTTTCTCTTCAAGCAAAATTGCTCTTGACTCTTTCGCAGTGACTCTGCTTGCAGATCTTGTAGCGGAGATAACATCTCTTCCCTTGGCTTGCACCCTCATTTCTCCCCCTCAAGGGCCGTGATAGAATTTCTAGTGAGGTCAAGCTCTCTCTCAACTTCAGCAAGTGATTCTCCGCACTGGGAAAAAGAAACCTGCTTATGTTGGAGGACCTGCTTGAGTTCAGCAAGCTGTTTTTCCTCCTCCCTCAGCAAATCTGAAGGATGCTTCCCTGCTGATATTAACTCCAGCTCTTCAAAACACGCAATCGTATCCTGATGCGCCTTGATGATTGAGGAGCTTTTTCTCATGAAGGGTCTCTTTCAAACCATAATTGACCTTTGCCAGAGCCAAATGGAAATCTTGTGCAGCTGCCTGCTGTACATGGAGCACATGAATCTCTTCCTCATTCTCTGCAAGTTTACAGAGTGCTTCAGCATGCCGTTCCTCGTGAATATCTTCACACGCATCCTCTAGCGCCTTGAGCTCTCGCATGCTGGCTTGCTTTTGATCGTGTTCCTTGACAATAGTCCGAATGTCAACATGTACTGTCTTCAATCTCTTCTGAACTGTTTTGGCCTCGCATTCTAGAGTAATGCTTCTCTCTGTCTCGTAGCTCTGTATAGCCCTCCCAACTTCGCCAAGCCTCTTGCACATCTGAAAGATTGATATTTCAGAATGAAGACACTAGGGATGTAAAGCAGAAGCAAAACAATCTTGGGCTTACCTTCCATCTTTCATGAGCTTCTTTGATCTTGGCTGTATCGGCAGCTGTCGCTGTCTCGAGTAGGCAAGTATTTGTGTTGATTCCTTGCAAACTCCTTTCCGTCTTCATCACAACCTCTTCAGCCTTTTCCACCTCGGCT